TACCTACTGCAGCTTTAAATGTCTTAAGGGAATGGCGATTAACAATTAATACTGGTAGATGCAACAGAAACAACTGTTGGTAAAAGTTCTCATGGCAGACTAATAATAAAAATGAATTAATCTGTCTACTTTTTCAACAAGACATAAGTACACCCTTGGCCCTTCTGCTTTTGTTGGAGATATTTGTTGGGAAAATGCCTGGCTACTGCCAAACAAGTTTATTTGGACTAACAAAGTCAAAGAGATTTCATTTAAAATGCTTGAACTGCTTGAGGTTTTATCCAACTAATCATTATATCCAGAAACTCAAGAAGGCCATACTGTAAGGACCTCAGAGAAACACTGGTACATTATTTTGTTTTTTTTAATCTTTGGAGTAATTGTCACAATTTATTGCTGATTATCTACCCTCACGTTATGTTACTCTGGTTTTTTGGATTCATTAAATATAACAGGAATCTCTGTTCACAGTTTTGTTTGTTTAATTTGCTTATTATTTTGACCAAATGTTACTATTTTAAATTTTAAATTTTAATTTTTAAGCAAAAAGCCAAACTTTACAAAGCTCAATGTCCATATCAAACTGCATTTGTTTGTCCCCCTGGCGTACTTGTTATTGTCATGCTGTATACACAAGCCAAGCTGTTTGAACTTGTTGTATACTTGTTCAATAAGTTTATTTAAAAAAAAACACAAAAAACCCCAAAACAATCAAATATATGTCTCCCTAGTTAAGCTAGCTATGAGTCAGTTTCAGTATTTTAATTTCAAAGTAAAATTAATGACGATTTTGCAAGCAGCTCCCTTTCTATAAAAGGAAACAGGTGTTTAAGATTGAATGATTCCAGGTCTGTTCTACTGTATCTGTGTTATCTGGCTGTGTCTCTCCAGGTGTGAGGAAAACTGTCTGAGCTGCAGTGGCCCCGGAACCACTTGCACCAAATGCAAAGAGGGTTACAGTCTGGTCAGCAGGACTTGTATTGTGAATGCGTTCTGTAATAATGGTGAGTCTGAAGTTATACAAGTCTACATCAGCTTTATTCACCTGGGTTTTTTGTGTCACATTAACTTCTGCAATAAAAAAACATCCAACATTAATTTCTGTACTTTTATCTGATCTATTTTATGTGACTTATGACTAATATAACTAACCTTCCTCTGCACTTTACTGCTTTGCACTTCTGGTTAAATGCTAACTGCATTTCGTTGTCTAGTACTTGTACTTGTGCAATGACAATAAAGCTGAATCTAATCTAATCTAATCTTTCTGCCTTGCAGACGCATTGGATTTGCGTGCCAAAATACCTAAAGGCACTCTGTAAGAGCAATGTTTTTACTAGGGATGGGAATCGAGAACTGGTTCCAAATTGTCTGATCCATCAGAACTGTGTTCCACTGAGCTTATCAATTCCTTTTATCAATGCCAGCATGTTTTTCCGTTGTGCACTGCAAATCAATGACATCAAACTTTTATATCTACGCTGCTGGGAACAACAAAGAGGAGTTAGGGTTGCAGGCCTTCATTTCACAAAGAAACTCAAACTACTTCAACGCTACTCTGTTTCTACACTATCAATTCCCATCCCTAGCTATTATGAGTGACTGCGCATTGTGTGTGAATCATGAACACAGTCAAGCACATGGGTGCCACGATTCACACACAATGCGCAATGTTGAATGTTAAAAAAAAGTCAGTGGTTCCAAAGTTGGAGGTCCATGGCAGATTGGAGGGATTGCGAAAATACAAAAAAACTTGAGAACTGGCCAAAGTACACAACTATCTGGCGATGAGCGGTTGATATATAGGGCGGCTGTGGCTCAGAGACAGAGCGGATCGTCCCCTAATCGGAAGGTTGTTGGTTCGATCCCCGGCTCCTTCTGCCACGTGTCGAAGTATCCTTGAGCAAGATACTGAACCCCAAATTGCTCCCCATCGGTGTGTGAATGTGTATGAATTACTTAGTTTCTGTTCGATGGACTTGGCCATTGCTGTGTGAAGGTCTGACTTGCATTGGGATCAGATCTCAGCCAGGTGTGAATGACGTTTGTAATAGGTGACCACATCTTTTAAAAAAGGCAAGAGGAGCAAAGACAATGGTAATACCAATTGAAAGTTGAATTAAAAGTTCTTGTGCTTAGTCTTTATGCTGATCTCTATCTCTGCTCTGATCTGTCTGACAGCTGATGAAGTGTTCTGTGAGATGGTCAAGTCCAACCGTCTCTGTGAGAAGAAGCTTTACCGACAATTCTGCTGCCGTACCTGTCTGATGAACGGATGAGGAGTCTACCACACACCAACACCTCCTTCTCTTTTACTCTCATCAGTGGTAAAAAGAGAACTGAACAGGATCATTTGGTCAAAAACTCACTTATGGAAGTAAAATTGCTATTAATTTGTGCTATTCATCTTAACAGTATATTTAAAGATCCCCTCCAGACATGTATTCAGACATTTATAAATAATAATAATAAAGTATAATTTCTACATTAAAAACCTTAAAAAGTCCTCTCCTCCTCCTACCTCATTATAAATTCCAGAATCTGTGAATATGCAAATGTTGTTCATTTCTAAAGTTTTGCTGCTGGACACAAGATGTCTCCTCCTTCACTGTAAAGTCCATTCTCAGTGGATGAGCACTGGTGGCTTCAGAATCAAATAATGTTATGATTCTTAATTGATACTTCATTAACCTCTATTTTTACACAGATGTAATATATTTATACTGGTTCAAATAAACAATAATGAATAAGTATTTTCCCTATCTTTGCTGAAGCAAGAAGTTTTTTGTGCAAAAGGATGATCTATGTCCCATTATAAGAGGCACTGTTCCAAATAAAAGGC